TCCAAATTAACGCGCATCGACCACACAAAAATTTTTTTTGCTCGCCTTTTCGTGACACCCAGAGTGATGATTATGAAGAGAGCGAGAGCGGAACTCTCATTCATCAGTGTTGGGCCCCGATTGATTGGATTGGCGCGGCGGCGGGTCTCCGACACTTGAACCAAATTGCAAGCCTGCGGCACCCCCTCCGCCTCCCCCCGACACCACCCCTTTACTGCATTGTGTCCTCAATCGCGCGCTTCCTCCCTCTCTGCCTATTCTGGAGTGCGTGACAGACGAAAAAATAAGCCAGGAGCGTTTTGTATCTGTTGATAGTATTCGGCTGGGATTAAAAGAATAATCGCCTGACAGATAAATTTTAAGCCTTTTGTAAACCACCAGCCGATTCGATTGGCCGCGAGCGCTTCATTTGCCGGCGCTGATTGTTAAAAGGGCAGTGCTGGAATTAACGACCCCGCTTTTTCCGATTCGAATGGAGTCGTCACAAAAGGGAAATCGGTGAAATGTATTAATCAATTGTGGGGTGTTCGCAGCAGATGCCCAAAACTCCATATACAAGGCGGTCATCAAAGACTGGCCTAGTTTCTAGAAGCATAAATTTTGGCTATCAAAATATATAGTTCAACGTTCTTATAAAGAAGAATTTTCAGGTTTTAAAATCATCAGAAAAATTAAGCTCCCTCTCCAATAAATTTAAAGTTTTTTATTCTTCCAAAATAATTTCCTAAACTCTGGTCCACTATTTAAATTTTCATAGACAATTTTTTAGTTTAAATTAATGTCGATTTATTTGATTTAAATTCATAAATATCTATTAATATTGTATAAATCAACATAAATGATATTTCACTCAATTTGATGGGCTTCAACTAATGTTTTGATCCAATTACGTTTACAGGTTTTGCGTAACTGCTCGCCGGCCAATGAATATCTAATAATGATTTTTTTGTGACATTGCGCAATTCCTAATCGAAATGTGGCGTGCATTTGAATGACGCAAGACGCTGATCATTTCGAAAAGGGGCAGATTTTCCATGTTTAATTTTCCAGGAAAACATACTTTTTACAGAAAAATTGCGTGGTATATTTTTAAGTTACAAAACTTGAAATTGTCTCGCAGCTCGTAGATGTTCTGCAATGTAATAACAATTATACAAAAGCTAGTGAACCACACGCAAGAATTCTTTCAACGAAACTCCCACGTCTATGGCATGAGCTGGGAAAGCGCGGCAGTAAAAAGAAATGAATCTCAATTCGTTCACCGCTCATTTGCCCGTGCAAATCCGACTTTTGTATTCTCGGAAGCTGCACTGGGACTGTCCAGCATAGCAAAGCAACGGAGAAAGAAATGTTTTGGTCGCGGGCCAGAAATAGATAGCGCGCGCGGCTGCCACGCGGCATTGCGATGTCCGCGCGCGCTGTCACAGATTAATCTCAACTCGGGTGCGGCGGCCAACGCACCCACTGACTAACTGCGAGGGTGCTTTGTTTCCATGTAATTAGTTTGCGTCGCCAACATATGTACTAGGTTAAGAGTCCCACAAGCTTCCAAACGAGAGAGATCCAACACACATTTACACACATTTATTTTAAACTTAAAATTTTTCCAACAATTTTATACTATTTTCGAACAAAAAAAGTTATATTAAACTGTTATATTAAATTTCTTTTAAAACTATTTAAAACTATTTTTAAAACTATATTTTTTTAATTTTTTTTATCAATTTTATTTGTTAAGATGCAAAATTTCAATATATTTCTGAGACTAACAGTTGTAGAGTAATTTATTAAAACATAATCAAACAAGTTTTTATGCGCTGTATCCATTAAATAAAATCGAATTAATTTGGAAAGTTAATCAATCAGCCTCTGAAACGCTTTATACATTATCGTGTAAATTAAAATTATAGTGCCATAATTTTATTATAAATATCAGCCAAAAGTTTTCATTTAAACAACCTCTAAATAATAATTTACCTGATTAGTGATTTATTAATCTCATTCTACATTTTAATGAACAGCTAAAACTGGCTAAAACTTTAATTAATTTAAACTTTCTTAATTAATTGGACCTTTCCCAAAATAACTCTCAACGAACGTTCAAAATAAATCGTCCATCCGAAATGAGATAATTTGACTGGAATTGAGCTACTCTTATAAAGTCATGCAAAAAACCATTAAAAATTAATTCGACGAACGGCTCGGAACGGTCTCATCGAAATTCATCCCCCGAGTGGCCGATTACTCATCTTCGATTTGGGCACATCCGAAATGCAAATGGAGGCGAGTGCCGATGTCGGGCCAAATTTTATCGCCCCTGGGGGACGGTGGCGGCCAAACAGCACGCGCCAGAGTTCTCCATCCGGCCATCCAACTCTCACGAATTAGCCCGCGCGCTATTATTTATTGATGATGTCATGACTCCGCATCATCACTCATGCTCTTTTGCCGCCACTGCTTATTTTATATTTTCTGATGTGCTTGGCCGTAAACATTACACAGAGAGGAGTCCAGTGTTGTAGTGCGTGTTGCATACTTAGAGCTCTGCAAGGGGTCTTGTGCGAGCAAAAAGGTCACTGTCTGCGCCAATTTATGGCGATCGCCTTTTGAATAAAGTGCGACGCGAATTAGTAGGGATGCTGCGATTTAAAGGGACGCAGAGGAAATAGTTGCAATGCCCGGCCGCGTCCTTCCGAGCCACTTTCCAAATTTATCTTATCGGACACGATGCAGACCTCATAAACCACGCTTAATCTACTTATTTCCTCTCGGAATCTAGGACTCCTTTTTTTGTGTTGCATTTTAAAGGAGATGGAAACATCGATAGATAATACAGATTTTATTTAAAACAGGTTTAGAAGATTACAATTTTAAATTACACAAAACTTCTCTGGATTAATCAATGCGTTTTGTTATTATGTAAAGAGGAATCGTAGTTTATGATCGTCATTTTTTTTAATTTGCACAGAATATTATTACTTTCGTTACTAATAAAAATAGTTCATGAATTACCATCAAAAAGAATTTCAAACTTTTTTTAATGCCAAATGTCTGAAATTCTAAATTTAATTTAAGTACAAATGAAATTTCACAAATAAACACACATTTGTATTTGTTGTTTTTGTTTATTCTCGTCTGAAAAACTACATAAATGTCAAATGGCAATTAACACAAATCAAATTTAAATAAATAATAATTATTTGATTTAAAGTTCCTCATCAAATACCACGGAACTTTTTGAGCACAGTCAAAATAAAATGAAACTTTGTTTATTATTTTTTTACTCACTTATATGCATTGTTAAAAGAAAAGAAATTTTTGAAATATATTACTTAACTGTTCAGCAGTATCTTCTAACCTGTTTCTCATGTAGAGCATGAAATATAGATTTTTTTTCGCACATTTTACTGCCAACATATTTACGCAAGAAAAATCTGAAATAGCTCTCCTTCTCTGTTTATGAAACATTTGCAGAGTGAATCATCACTGCGAATCTGGAACGGTGTAAACATTTAAAAGTGCGTGTTAACGGAATTCCAGGTCTGCGCTTTCTTCGCGCATATTCAAATTTCGCGGCAGGATTAAAGCCTTAAACTGGCATGACGTACAAGGGCCCTTTTCGGGCGTGTTCGTCGTCGGATGCAGGATTTGGCGTCTCGTTTTTATGGACTGGTGAAATGACGCGAGATTAGGAAAAATTCCACTCAAGTAAGGCAAACCTTGTTAAAGCGGCGGCGGCGAACATACCCGCGAGAGTCTCTCTGCGGAGGGCGGCTAATACACGCGCGGCGCATATAAACAAAAGAACAAAACAGACCGTAAAGTCGGAAATAATTTGTGGGGTGGAATGGAATTGGCCAGGCGAGCCGCGCGCAATAATGAAAGCGCCCTTTTGTCTCTTCCACAACAGCACATGCAGGCGAGCAAAAGACGCATTCTCGGTGCGGTTAGTCACTCCATCCGCCAAAGCCCGCCGCCGCGATTTTCCTCCTTCTTTTCGCCAACTAGGTCTCGGAATAAACTGCAAGAAGCGCCCGGCTAATGGACCGGAAATAAATAAATATAAAGGCGAAATGCACAATGCACCCCACGGCCGCTGCTGAGACGGCGAATGGACCAAAAGAAAATACGGAAAATACACACAACAGTAGCACTCGCTTCCACCCCAATCCTCCGATCTCTTTCATTTTCCCCATTTAATCCTCAGCCCTTCCTAAATAACGCGGAGTTGAAACGAAAATTTCTCTTAAATTAAAAAAGGTGTTTATTTGAAAATTTCTACTGTTTTTAATTATATTTTGTGTTTGGAATCTTCATGTTTCTGGAAAAAACAGTTATTGAATAAGGGCTCTTTTTAACAAATAGCTCTAGAAATTTGGGTCGCAACAAAAATAACAAAATCAGCATAAATGAAATTAAAAACTTTTTAACAAATAATTGAATTTTTAAAGTAACAAATCCAACTTCTTCACTCGAATGTTAGAGAATAATTTGTGTAGAAGTGAAATTCTCACGTTTGTGTGCTTGGATCAATATTCATATTCAATCGACTTAATTGGAATGAAAAATCGACGAATCATCAAATTGCAACTGCCGTTCTTGCGCCACCCCTGTCTCGACTGGAAAAGATCAAAGTAAACAACAACTCTGCTCAATTTCTATAACGAAACACTGCCATTATCACACGCGCGGCTTCAAAGGGACAAAAAGAAGGTTGCCTCTTTAAAGGAAACCGCCATTTGTTTCGACATGAGCTTTGTTGCTTTGGCAATCTAACAACAAAACTGCGATCCCATTTTTGCATGTCAGCGGCTCGTTCGACTCTTTCTTTCCCCTCGATCGTTTACCATTGCTGTATAACAACTGCAGAAAAGTAGCCTCCGGGGCCTAATTACTTCCGCTCAATTCTGCCACCAACTTTTTACTTGTTAAATAACATTATTTTTCGTCCCGCAATTATTACATTTCCCCAATTTTGGCACTAACGAGTGAATTTTCAGACGCACCTTACGGAGACGGAGTAGCCGAACAGCTGTTATCCATGTGCACCTCACGCTACTCGTACCAGCCGCCGTCCAACATGATGCGGGCACGCAGAAAGGACGCCAGCGTGCGGCCCAACCGATGGCTCGACAAAAAGTCCAGTCGAGGCATGTTGTAAGTACAGAAATAATGAAAATCTATTTCTATTTAGCAATCAAATTTTCAACAAGTTTAAATTGGAAAAAAATTAAATAAAATTATAACCAAGGGGGTCAAGACCAGAAAACAATCAAAGATAATTAGCAAACATTTTGAACCTTGTTAATTTTTTTTATTATATTAACATACACATAAAAAATTCTACTTGTTAACAAATTAATATTCCATTTTTCAAGTCGACTTCTAGCGGCTCTGCAAAAAAAGAACTATAAAAAGAAAAAGGAAAATGTTATTTTTAGCCAAAGGCAATAGATCCATACACGACGTTCCATACCTTTCATGTATTTATTTATAATTTTTATAATACTTTTAGTTGTCTTGAAAAGAAACTATTCCATCCAATGGTATCAAACTTTTATTCTTACACTTATTGTTAGATTTACAAGTGATAAGTGGAATGAATAAAGCGCAAACATTTTTTTTTATATAAAGCAAGTTATTAAAGTATATTTTTAATCAAGTTCGTATAGTATAAATTATAGTTCCAAGAAGATATTTTAACTGCCTCTCGAATGGCGAATTTTCTCAAAACCATAATTGTCTTATTTGAGATAATTTACTCCAAACAATAATAATTACGGAAGTAAATTTGGCGCCAATAAAACAGCCGTATGAAAAAACAGAACAAAAACCATAAAAGTTAGTCAGATCGGCGTCATTTATGACTGCGGGCACATGGAAGCACGCTTTATTTACCATGGCCGCGAAATTGCATGTCCAAATTGACTGTCGCTTCCCACTGGATAACATCCGACTTTATTTCAAAACGAGTTTATCAATCCAGGACACCTTTCAAGCCAAAGCACAGGTTGGTTGGCAAGGGGTCGTGGATTTATTTGCAAAAAATCAGGTGAAAAGAACACAAAATTTGACGGATTTTGGCGTGGAAAAAACTCGGAAAAGTCAAAAGCTTTCCCGGAAAAACGCTACTGTAGTTTCAACTTAAAAATGGAATATCTCGGGTTCTAATTGAGATACAGAAATGCGGCTAGCACCAAAAATTTTCTTTTTACCTCCTCTTCAATCCTGAGGGGTCAAATAATTAAGAGGTCAAAGGTCAAGGTCAATTTTCAGGGGTCACAAGTACAAAAAAAATTCTTGCAAAAATATGCCACCTTCGATTGGGCTGAAATTTTTTTCTAAGATAGTCCTAACATGTAGGAACAACATATTAAAAATTCAGAATGGCATATTTTTTAGATTTTTTATAAAAAAATCACAAAGATAAAAAAACGTGAATTTTTCGTATTTTGCCAATGGTCGGATACGGTCGGATATTGATTTTTAGAATTTTTAAGAAATATTTTGAAATTTTAGGAATTTTTTGTCAATAAATAAATAAATTTACCCATTTTAGATACGTACTTTCTCAAAATAAATTTTTGATCATGAGCAAAATGCGAAAAATTCACGTTTTTTTACCTTTGTGATTTTTTTATAAAAAATCTAAAAAATATGCCATTCTGAATTTTTAATATGTTGTTCCTACATGTTAGGACTATCTCAGAAAAAAATTTCAGCCCAATCGAGGGTGGCATATTTTTGCTAGAATTTTTTTGTACTTGTGACCCCTGAAAAATGACCTTGACCTTTGACCTCTGGATTATTTGACCCCTCAGGATTGAAGAGGAGGTAAAAAGAAAATTTTTGGTGCTAGCCGCATTTCTGTATCTCAATTAGAACCCGAGATATTCCATTTTTAAGTTGAAACTACAGTATCGTTTTTCCGGGAAAGCTTTTGACTTTTCCGAGTTTTTTCCACGCCAAAATCCGTCAAATTTTGTGTTCTTTTCACCTGATTTTTAGCAAATAAATCCACGACCCCTTGCCAACCGACCTGTGCTTTGGCTTGAAAGGTGTCCCAGATCGAGCAACAGAGAATTTCAAAAGTATTTTCAAATTTATTTACGACCATTAAAAACACAGCGAATCACAGGTTTTTATCCGTTTGTGCAGAAAGATCTCAACCATTGAAAAGCTGTTTATGCAAATCGAAAAGTATTGTTCCGCTGCTCTCTGGTGTGAGTATCTCCGTCTGCGTATTGTGTTGTTAAAGCTTGGCAACACACACTTGCTGGTCTTGTTGGGGTTGCCTATTTCTCACAAGAAAACATAAATTCGGCCCTCTTTCGCAATATGTGCCGCAGCAGTTTCGAACTCGCACGTGTGCGCTTTTTGCCGGACGCAAACCGCGGTGACAAAGAACGAAAGGAAGGTGCTTCAACCCCATAACACTCACACACGCATTCCATTAGCATGAAAGATGGCAAAGGGTGGAAATATTGATCAGGGGTGGAGACAGTGTCATTGGCGTGACTAATGATATGACCTATCCTCTCGTGTACGCATTTGCTCTTTGGCTCGCGTGCGATTTCAATTAGCTGCGCAAATCATCTCTGCGTATATGAAAACAGTTTCCACATGCATAATCAATATTTTTAAATATAATTTTTTTTTTGTAAAATTATATTAAAAATTAGCAATATTTATTAATAATCAGTTATTTTGTTATTTTTGTAAGTTTTATTATTTTATGTTTATAAAGTATTTCTTAAATAATATGTTTAATTTTGTTTTTGTACAAATTCAAATCTATAAATAATACCAAGCATTGCCTAAATTATTGTATAACTGAAAATTAAACAAACATTTGATTCTAGTTCAAAACGGGAGGTGGACGTGTTGTTAAATATTTGAGTATTGCAGGAACATAATATAAAATTTCTTATTCGTCTAACTATATCTCATAAATACGTTCTGAGATGGACAAGAAATCTTTAGCATTTACGCACAAACAAAAATTTATAACAAACTTAACAAAGAAATGCATGGATAAAAACAAATTAACATTAAACTTTGTGCAATTGTCGTAAACAAGAAGAAGAATTCCAAAGAATTCACAACTATTAATATTATTATAATTTTTGTAACGTATTCAGCAAAAATTTAAAATTTCCCTGTTTCCCTGATTTTTTTTCTTCATATCAGGCAGAGTTCAATTATAAAGTTTTTATTAAAAATTGTAATAAGACGCAGTACATTCGTTAGCATTAATTTAAACTGTATTGATAGCTGTGTGTCAAAAGTATCATGTTCTTCATTTTTATAGCAAACCGAAAAGTGTTTTTTAAGCATATTTTAAATTAAAATTTAAAAACATAAAATGTATATAATTAAATTATAAAGAAATAACAATTCTTGAGAACAATCGATCCTGTGCAGCCTCTGCATGAGTCTGCGCCGAGACAAAGTAAATCCATGCGATGTGGCACTTTTTGCAGAGCGTGAAATTTATTTCAGCATGCATGTAATGCGGAATAATAGATGGGGGGCTTCTCTTTCTCTCTGTTGCGACGTGAATAATACAATATCATCTCTCCCAGTTCTCTCGCGGCGGCACATTTTCTACTTATGCGCATCTCGCATAATTTTCCAGCCCTTTTGTACTCCCGAATGTGCTGGATGCGACGTTTTGGCACAGTTTCATGGCCGCGCGATTCGATATCTCGCGTGCGTGCATTTGAGAGAGTATTGGCGCAAAATGAATTAATGGCCGAGGGCGTTTTTCGGTTTTTCGAACGGCTGCAGATGATCTCGGTCGTATTTTTTCCTCCCGCCAAATGCGTGGCGGCCAAATCGCAGCACCAAAAGACTTTGAAAATGTTATTGCCGTCGACGTTTGCGACTTTTGTATGCTCGGTCGTTTTGCTGAATTGAATTCAAAGGAAGCGAAAAGAGGGCCTCGGTGCCCAATATCTCTTTTTTATTGGACTTTGTTTGTTTCGGCAGCGGGAATTGCTCCGCTCCGATCGATATTTATGCTAATCTGATGGTCCATATACCCCAGTCTAATTCCCAAACGTACTTTAATCGCAGAGAAAATATAATCATCCCAGGGTTGCCAAAGTCTACATCCAAAATGTAGCCAAATTTTTTACTTATTTTGAATATAGCAATAAAATTTCAGATAATTTTACGCAACGGAATACAATATCATCTCTTGTTTATTATCTACAAAATACAAATTTTTTTATTGGTTTCCTAAACATAATTTAAATACATTAAGGGAGCTTATCTAGATCCATTTTGTTAGACAACTGAATTTTAAACCTAATTTTCCACATATGCAAAATATGAACTTATTAGAAATTGTTTGTGAATTATATTTTATTTAATCTCAGAGAAAAATTTATTATTGAGGCCTCGGGAATAAATAATTGTTAAGGATCTGTAAGAGTCTTCAATCATAAGAAATTGTAAAATTCTTAGAAACATTACAGTCTTATTGAGAAATTAATTTTCTTTAAAAATATTTTGGAAGAACTTTGTTCAGATTTTATTATACAAAAAATAATTCTGTTTGAAACTTATGCGATAATTTATTTACGTTTCCAACATCAGTTGAATTTTGATTTATTACATGTTGAATCAATCTGCTCGAAAAATCACCAAAAGTTAAAATTTTGGCTTGAAAGCTCATTTTTCGTGTGCGTCAAAGGCCCATCATGAAAAATGACCTTGTGGCAACCCTACTTGGGAAACGCGAATGGTTGTCGAGGGCGCAGCTCTCGTATATTAATCCATCATTAACGTGAAAGGCGGCCTTTCAAACCTCGACCGGCACCGTCGACGCATCCATCCATCCATTTGGCGCTCAAAAAACTCGCGCAACTTCCATTTCGGCAGCGTCATTCTTTAATGCTCCAAAGTGGAAAACACAAATTTAATTAGGTTAAGAGGCTGTGACTGCGGGAGGCGAAAAAAAAACACTCTTTCAGCTTTATCGGTAATGAAATAATGAGCGTGGCTGAGATTGAATTGATTGCTGTTAACGCCGGCGACGTAGGCAACCGGCCGAGCGCGCCCTTTTGTATACGCTCGAGAGCCACTTATTCATTCGCTTTCATCAGCACAAAAGCCGAGTGAATTTTTCTTATTAGACTCATTATTCAAACTCGTTCTAATGAGTGAGTGGTTGGTCGGTCGAAAATCGAGGGGGTCTTTGTTGTGCATGAGAGGGTGAATAAGAAGACCATCCATCCATTCTCTCCAAAGTCAAAAGCCGTGAGGCAGAGAAAGAAATTGAATCACTTTTGTCTCTCTATCGCCCCTTTATTCTTTCCTCATTTTTTGCCTCGACGTTTTTCTCTTTTGTCCTTGTAAAAATAATTTCCTCTGTCGTGGTTATGAGAGATCCTTACATTAAATTACAACGAGAACATGACAGGATAAAAGGCCTGCTGGAAGATTTAAAAGTAAAGAAAATAAAAACATGATCTAATGAGTTTAAACGACAAAAACTTCAGAAATTAAAAATTAATTGATTAATAAATTTTTGGCAATTAATCCTACAAAATTCCTTTCATACTCATTATTATTTGATTGTTTTATTTACACCAATTCTTTTAATATTTTTCCAGATTTGAAAATGAGGAGCTGCGATTGCGTACCATCGAAATTAACGCAGAGGTGGAGAGAGGACAGGGCGACATAAAAAAGCTCAAGCGTCAAAACGAGCAGCTCAAAAGGTAAGCCTCTCTCTTCCCATTTTTATTTTTGCCTCCTTAATTGGTCTCTCTTCAAATGGGGCTCGACCGACGCTAACAGCCAGGGGTGGTTCTTAATTAATTAAATTATTAATTAGCGTCGCACGCGATTCGAACGAGAACGAACAACTGGTGCCGTTCTCACAGGACTTTCGGCCGTGGGTGCGAAAAGCCGAGAACTTTATATATTGAGAGCATGGAGCGGCGAAGGCTATTTCGGGGCTCTTGATTCGGTGCTGCTCATTTTTATGGGCCACGTCAAAACAGGATATCATTCGGATTATGAAAAACACACCGCGGCAGATGCAGGTGTGCACATGAACCACGACTGAAAGTCCTGATTTTATTTTTAATCGGCCTAGTGACGCTGTTTACACTATTTTGTAAGATGCAATTTCAACACTAAATAATTATTACACAAAATTAATCATTAGATACGATAAAATTGTCTTTATCTTTATTTTAAGTTATAAATTTTATATTAGTTATATTATTCTGGTTTAATGCATTAATTGTATTTATTTTAATATAAATTTTACTACTACATTTCAAGTAAAGAAAAGCTTGACATGGAAAAATAGACAGGGAATGCATTTTTTAAAAAGTAATAAATACAATATTGCATTGCAAATATTTGATTGTTTGATTGTAGACAAATCAATACTACATGCTTGAATTTTAGGAACATTTTTCTATTGATTACGATTCCTTTGATTAATTATTTAGTGTATGAATTGATTTATAAAAAAAAAATTTTAGTATAAAAGTTTTGTTGATATTAATAATAAATTTTCTGCAAGCAATTCATTAAAACCTAGAAGAAATTTAATTTTATATGAGCCCTTACAACAAAAACAATACAATCTCAAATTAGGTGTATTGCATTAATTTATTAATAAATTAGATCAAATTTACATAAATCAAATAATGATATCATTCAGTGCGTCAACTATTTAAAATAATAACATGTTTTTTAAACGGATGGTAAATTGCAGAGAAATATGGAATTTACGCGACGAATACGACAAATTGGAAACTCGGATGCGGCGCATGAAAAGTAAAGACGACTCGTCCGAAGGCGAAGAGGACGAAGAATACTACGAGGACGACAACCAGGAACGAGAAAGTGAGTAACTCATTCCACGGATTCGATGGAATAAAAATATCTGATAATTAATGGCGCGTGCCCCTCGAGTTCCCCGATTTGAAAAGCATGGGGGCAGCAGCGGCGTCTTGCTTTCTTCTTTCTTACTTTTGATTCTCACGAAATTAACGCGGCTCAACAGAGAGGGCGGAGGACGATGACAACCGGCAGAACGCCAAGATCCAGAGCTGCTCGGACTACGAGGACGACGAGAAGAAGCCGCTGGAGGACCAACCTGAGACGGGCAAGGATTCGGACGCGCCCAACAAAGACTCGTCGGACAACGAACTGGCCAAAGAGGAGAAAAACGAGGCCGACGTCATCATCGTGCCGGCCACCAATGACTGCAACGACGCAAACAACTGGCAGGTACTGTGTGCATCAAGTTCAAAATTTAAAGAAAAAAAGTGCCATGTCATTCCGAGTAAAATTTCTCAAAAATTAAAATTAAAATTGTAGAGTAAAAAGAAAAATACAGATTTAGCATAGGAAAAACAATACACCGCGATTTGTTCACCTGTTGAATTACATTTTATTGTGATTCAAATTTTGGAAAGTCAATTTTTGATCTTGAAACTGGAATCGAGTATTTCTCTATGTATTGCAGTATAAAAATGAAATAATCCTTTAAAATCTTTAAAATGCATGCTAGATTTTTATTTTACTACAGAACTTAATCAATATTATTTCCATATTTAATTAAAAGAAATTAATTTTTATAATTTTCCAGCTTTCCATAAATGCTTCTTTTTAATATTTTTTCTTGCTCTTTTCAAGCAATTTTAATAAAATAATACTTGTTCGTGTTTTGTATGAAAATGAAGTCTTTTTCCTCCAACTTATAGACATAAAAAAAGAGAGAGCCCATCCATCAATAATCAAATCCTGACAGTCGGGAGATTGGCCCAGTCTCAAATTTCCTTAATGAAATCTCTCCCGTCTCGCGAGATGAATGATTTCGGCTTTTGACAATTCGGTCAATCCCCGGCGTCAGAACACGGAGCCAGACGTATTTGTCACCCTAGAAGCTCACTCGGAAATCCAGGGTCGAGTGAATTCATGAATTAATCTTGGCGCGGTGATAAAAGGGGTCAAATCGATTCTCAAAAGTTTCACGTGGGGTTTGATTGTTTCCTCTCCTGCACCCTTGAATGCATTTTCGGCGTTGTGGTCTCTCTGGCAGGGCGCACGGGGGTTGCCTATCAAGCGAGAATGGGCAGCGCGCGCGTTTAAATCAGATGTCAAGAGAGGCCTCTCTGTATTTTCTTGCAGAACACGCAAGGCTACGGCACGGACGGCTACACCAGCACCGAGGAGTCGTGCGAGGGGTGTCAGAGAAGATACGGCGGCAGTCAGCGGTGCACCCCGCGCAGGAGGGTGGTCAGCGGCGGCCTGCACAGGTACGTCCGAAACAATGTGCACTCACTTCCCGCTTTCATCGCTGTTTTCCCAAATCTGCTCTGAATATAAACAATCATTCGTCCATCGGCACGCAAATCACTTTTTTATTCATATCATAAAATAATCTGCGCGCTTTTGAACGATTTTCCAGTTTTCTCTGATTTATATTCGCCGCTATGGATTTTCCGTGTAAAAGAGTCATTCGCTCTCGGTGCCGGTGTTTTGAATAAAGAAAGCGACCGTTTCTCGTGGAAATCGATTTGGAGGGTTATAACGTGTGCCATGCTCGATGGAAATATGGAACCCAGATTGATATTTGCGGGGACGGAAAAATCATCAATCTGTTCCACTTTTTAATCGGCTGGCCTTGAAATATATAAAAATTCACTCAGTCTCTTGCTTTCTTGCTTTCACCATTTATTTGCGGCAGGGTTGATAAATATATAAATTTAATGCTTTGAAAGTAAAGTTAATGATAAATCATCAAACAAAAATTCAAGCAAAAACAAAAGGCTGCTGAGAAGTCATTATTTGTGAGATAATTTAGTTTTATATTTTTTTAATTATAAAAATACAAGAAAATGTTTATTTTTTAAATTATCATTAATTGGCTTCAAAATTTTTAAAGCGCTCAATAATATCTTTAATTTGATAAAAATATTTTTTTCTATCTTTTGCTTTGAAAACGTTTTTTGTCCTCCTTCAGCTCGTTTATATCGAGCCAAAAGCAACTTTGAAGATTAGGATGAGCACTACTTTAGCATTGAATTTTTAGGCTAAAAATAGATTGGAAAGTGTCTTTGTTATAAAGAAATTCAAGGTCGAGGGTCTGCATGAGGGTATAACATGTACGTTCGGCGGTTTATAATAAAAATGGCAAAAAGCGCCGCCTACACACCCGTCTGCTTTTCTGAAAGGTTTTGGCTCGCGGCCAAAAATCGCTCTCTACTCTCTCTAGCTTCATTCCAGCAGCAAGAAAAGAATAACTCTCGCGCAACACACGTGGCATTACGCCCCGCGAAATTTCAAGGTTGGCACAATTATTCTTACGGTTTTGTAAGCAAATTCTGCAAGAGCTTCTCAAAGCCAGCGTGGGCTTCTTTCCTTGCTCGCCTGATTCGGTCTAATTATGGACGGGCCGGAAAGCGAGAGGGAAGCTTTTAGTGGTAATATGCGTGCTGCGTGATTAGCACACTCGCGTGTCTCATCGCCAATTTCTACGAACGCGCTGATCCCACCAAGGACTTGACTAATCTAATCACTGCACCGCCGCCAATTACTATAAAGAACGCGAAAGCTAATAGAATTCTGCGTCAGTGTACAGAATTGGTTGTTACGTCTTTATCAAAAGGAATACTTCTTGCAATTTATAAAAAAAAAAACTATTTTTCCATAATTTTTTTATAATATTCATTTAAAATAAAAACTAAAGGTAAATATAAAATTGTGAGAATTTTTCATTTAATTGATAATTTTGGCTTTTGTAAAATAGTTTAAAATTCAATAAAGTAATATTCTTTGCATAAATCTAGCAATTAAATTTAGATTACTGTAAATTCAAGCAATACAATGAATGTTATTTGCATTAAATTTAGGCGATTGGATATTTTTTCCTGAATTATAATCAATTATAAGTTCTAAATTTCTTTGACAAATCCAGCTGTGTTGCTTCAAATTCATATTTAAAATAGCGTGCCGATTTATTAGATTGCGAATCTTTGGTTTTAGAATAAAAAAATCAAATTAAATGGAATCAAAATGAATATTGTTTTTAGGCAATGTTATGAAAACTGGAAAACTGTTAAAAGTGAGCAGATTTTTTTTTTCGTCAAAAAATTAATAGTTAAAGCTTGAAAATGATTTTAAAACTCTTTGATTCTTTTTTTAAATTAATTACTGTGTCGAGTGATTCTTCTTTTCTTTTGTGCTTTTTTCCCTTCGACCGGCATCTCGGTCACGCCGATTGAGACGCGCGCCCGAACAAACAGCCGATTAACGACTCTGGCATAGCACCTAATAAATTAATCACACTTTGTTCACGCTCGCAGTTAAGATACGTACACAGTGTGCATCTCTCGCTTCACGAATGGGCATGCGTTGTTGGCAAAAATTGTTACGTGTTTTCTCTCTGTATTTGTACATTTGTGTTCGTCCCCTTTCAGCACATTTCTGTATAAACGCATTGCTTCACCACCAACAAACACGGCGCTTAAGCTGCAATGCCTGGTTGATTCGAGAATGTACAAGGACGACTCGTGCCAAGAAAATAAGCCAATTTTACAAGCAATTAAGACGCGCCCCCATAAAACACGCGCACAATTGGCATTCTCCTGCTGTCACCCTTGTTACGAACGAGGATTTCACCGTGAAATTCTTTGTCGCCCGTGGAGACTGCAGGAGTTAAAAAATAAAACGGTCCCTTCCAAAATTAACATATTTCGATTTAGGAAAAAAAAACTAAAAAAACATATCAGAAACACACAAAAACTGTATAAATCAACACACACAAAATCTGCTATTGCTTCGTTTTTTTCCTCTACATTTTTTCAATTTTTGTCTCTTTCCTATCAACACCAAAACACAATTTTTCTCCTTCAAATTTTTTGCAACAATCAATCTTGGTCCCATTTTCTAACAAATCAATCCGAATGTTTTTCACACTTCACCGTACTTTCCCTCACGATTTTAAATTTATTGCCTGGCTTGGGTTGAAACGTTTCATTCCTAAAGGGAGTCGTCGGCAGTCAAATTTGAGTCAAAATCAGTGAAATTTAGCACCCGTTTTATTGCCCGAGCCAGGCAGTAAACTGTTCTGTTGAAACAAAACCACAAAAATTCCAGCCCGTCGCCCACCAAAAGGCTAATGTCACACAGCAGTTTGACACGGCGTTAATTCCCCAGTGGCGTTAATTCCTGCTATAATTATCCCGGCTGTTTACACAAACTAACGCTGTGGGGCCTTTGGGCGAGAGCTATGGACGAGAGACGCCAAAACATCGGCCTGAAATGACGAAATCAGCGTCAACCTTTCTGTTACTCTTCCGTCCGCAGCTCATTTAGATAGAAACTGGCGTGGTCTAAATTACGTTTCATTGAAAATTTGATCATTAATTATTTAGATTGACGTAAAAATGTTTGAAAAGGAAGTGGTAGAACTCTAAAATTAAGAATTACCAACCGACAAGAAGAGTTTTTTTTTCTAAAAGGAGGCAAATGGTTGTACATCTATGCCGAACAGGTTGCCTATGTTGAGATAATTTTTGTTATTGACTTCTACTTTACTGACAAGTAATGATTTGATTAGAGATTTCAACAGATGATGAGATATAAAAAGGCAAAAGATATTTTAAATCATTTTAATTAATGAGAAAATATCCTACCGGTCTAATTTTTTTTTCAAGCCATTTTAAGATTTGTATCTTTTTATTCAATAAAGATTAATTATTATTATTTATTCTTCTTGTTCATTACTAAAAATTTTAAATTTTTATAAAAGAGATAATAATAATTGGGAAAAACTAAAAAAGGTACTTTTTAAAATCCAGTAAAGAATTCCGTTTAAGCAAATTTTAATGATCCATCGATGACTAACAAAAATTGCCTAGTTTATTTCTTTTACTTGAATAAGACATTTTTTTCCAATTCAATTGAATTATTTGTGGAAATATTCCTGACATTCCGTGTTTGCCTTTTGCCGCCGTGGCGTTTTGATTGTTTTGTCTCTCGTCGAAAGACCATTTCCTCGCCCTCGCCGGTCAAAGCGGCAAGTCTGTAGAAAGTGTAGTCACGTTTTCTCACAAATTCTCTCGTGAACCCCCGTGGGAATGCCCAGGCGGCGGAGAAAGAAAAGCCGGCAGAAGGCACCAGGCGTTTTGTTTAACACAGAGAAATATAAGAGAGCTGCGTTTCGAATTCCTAGCGCAAAGTGCGTGCGTGCCGCTTGGCGTCTCTCTCTTGGCCGTCCGAGGAGGGCCGCAGACAAAACACCCGCAGACGCAAACAGACCGACAGCCAGTTAGTCTCTCTCTCTTGCCTCAGCAGTTAAAGGGTCGTGTGTGTGTAAATTTTTGCAGACAAAACAGCTTCAGCAGCAGCAATGCCGGCGACGCCTCGCCCAACAGACTGTCCCTGCCGGTGGGCCTGCTAGAGCATGGCACCGTGGAAGGGACCAAGTGCCACGCCCACCACTCGTGCTGTCCTGCCGAGGACCAGCAGCACCAGTGCGGCCCCCAGTTCGGGGGCCCCTGGTGGGTGTTGACCCCGGTGACGATGCCCGCCGTCGACTGTGCCTGCGGAATGCCTGCCGGTCACGAGTTCATGGCGCACCAGCCGCCCCTCGCCCCGCGGCCAGCGCCGCCCCCGGTGCCCTGGTCGGGCTCCACGGCCACCATCACCGAGGCCGCCTCCACTCCGGCCGTGCAGAACCAGCAATGGGCCATCGCGCCCTACCGAGGCGACATTGCCCAGCAGACTGCCCACTCAAAATCAACCCCCGCGCTGCCCATCAACGGCACCCCCAAGACGCCCAGAAGAAGGGTGAGTTGAACCTTTTTACTTTATCAATTGGTGCGTAATTTATTTGCGGTTATTATTGATAATTTTGTACTAATTTTGAGGCGTTTTTAATATTAAAAAAGTTGAAATTATATATAAAATAAAAACAAGTTTGTTCAAAAAGCAGCTATAAAATAAGTGAACAACGGAAATCTTTAAATCTTGGTTACGATGAAAATTATGTATTTAAAATATTTATTAAAAGAATTTCGTGTTAAAAATTGAGATTGGTAAAAATTATTAGTGAAATAAATCGAATCAATATTTTTATTTAACCATCAAAATTATGATCAATCAAAACTCGTAATTCTTGCGATTGAGAATATTTTTCTAGGAGAACTAATGTAAGTTGCGTAAATAATCTTATGAAAAATATCATGCTCTACAAGCAGGTGTGAAGGTATCTTGTGAAAAATTATAGCGAATTAGATAATTTTAAAAAAAAACCCTAAAAATTATTTTTTAAATATGATTTTCATACAAGGTTCTTTTAATCAGCGCATTAATTGTAGCTGGAGCCCAAAGCTGAAACATTTAAAGCACACGATATTGTTTTTTTTTACAAAACAATGAACAAGTCAAAGAATTCATCGAGGAAATGCAGAATATAAATTTAAATAGGGGTTAATTACACAAATACTGGAGAGAGAATTAAAAAAAAAGCATTAATATACATATTAATATTCACAGCAGTTACATTGAACTGGAAAATGCTTTTTCTGTAAGCCTTAAACTCTCGCATGACAATAATTAAATAAATGCCATCCCGCATTTGATGTAATTGGCAAAAGTCAAAAGCATTTTTTTGGTAAAGACGTCATGTTGAAGATAGACATTCAGCTGAGCATCTCTTACAATCAAAAGAATCAATTTGCCATGAGCAATCTCGCAATCTGCAGTTATCTCTTTTCCTCTCATTCCAAAATAACAATGCCCCGTGGAAGCGAGCGTCTCTCTCCATCCGCAATTTCTCATCTTTTCAATCTCTCTCTCGGTCTGCGGAAAGGCGCACCAATAATTCAAAAGAGCGTGCGTGTGCCGCCGACAAAGCGCTTTCTCCGTTCTTCTCCCTCGTTGGGCAGAGAAGAAAACCGCGCCCCGCCGTTTAATGAGTGATCTGCTCACGCGGCCGTGAAATTTTCCTTCGGTGTACCTTGCGAAAATAAATTCGCGTTTTTGTTGTGCGGTGACGCTTGAAAGTCGGAAAGGATAGAAATGAATCGGCGGGCGCATTTTTCATCTTGGCAACATTTTCATACACGGCCGCAGACATGCAGGCCCTCGACAATCCAAACAGACACAATCGGCCTTTGAGCAAAAAATGCAAAGAAGAGCGGCGCGGCGGCGGCGGCACCTCTCTTTTTGTCCCGCCGCAGACATTTCATTCTTTGGCCTCCGTGTCTCATTTCAAGTGGAAACGCTCTCTGCGCTGGTTATGACAGCCCACCATATAATTCTACATACATATTTTCGTGCCATTATTTGCTTTGTGTGCCACTGCAGTCGAGATGAGAGTTGAATGAGCCCACAAGCCCATCGTCAAGCAGGGAATTGCTCCGAGTCCTTCCTCCCGCAAACATTCCCGGCCCTGCTCTCTCTCATTAGGGCAAATGCACGGATATTGACCTTTACTGTGCGCAATTCCGTCCGCCGCGCTGATGAAAAGTTACACTCTTTTTGCTCCGTTGAAATTGGCAACAGTCGTTCTTTTTCATTTACCTGGGTTGCTTGGAAAAGTGCTACGGTAAAAAGTTTAGCAACTATTTTCAAACCATCTCCACTGCGTGTCTTACAAGAAATTGTGAAAAATAATCATCCGTGAACCGTGATTGAAATTTTTGTTGTATATTTTTTATTATTGATTATAATTTAATATTCAAATTTTAAATTGGTCGAGAAAACCGTATAAAATTATCCATAGTTACAAAAGTTTGTTTTCTGCATCTTTTTCTAACATAAAATTAACAAGAATTTTGAATAAGTTAAAAAATTTTATTTTATGTATTTTAAACAGTATGTATATTAAATTTAAGTTAAATTTTTTGTTTATCTATTTAACCATAATAAACATAATTATTTTTCCACGTTATTACGCAAAATTATTCAGTTTTCTATTATATTTGAATAAATAAGTTAAAATAAATAAACTGTCTGTTTTATTGTAGTTGCAGTTATTGGTAGCACAAATTTTCATCAATCAAAGAAAGTTTTCTTTCAATCATTTATTATTAAGTTATAATATATAAAGATAAAATTTGATAAAACCTTAATAAAATTTCTGCAAGTTAAGATGAGGTTGTACTCAAATGAGTATGAAATAAAATAAATATACAAGCATAATTTTAATTGCAGTGGCATCTGCTAATCGCAAGTCACAAAATTAACGTTTCCCTTTCCTACATAGATGTCACAAAACAACCATTACGCCTCTTGTCTCATCTCACTCCATCACAGGGAGGAACAATTGGCGTCGAGCACCATCTCAATTCGCTGGGCAAACACGACGAGTCTGCGAAAAGATCGAATTTCCGCTTGTTTTGGCTGCTTCGGGAGTTGTGCTCGAGCCATGTTCAATATTTGCGCTCACTCGGTGTGCAGCTGAGGCCAATTTTCGCTCACTCACTCTCATTCTCGTGGCAAAGAAGTTCCGTCAACAACATGCATAATTCGGTCGTTTTCGCGAACAATGCAGCTAAATAAGCTGTCTGGCCGACGAGGAGGAAAGATAATTGAATAATCTCGCGATTGAATTGAACGAGCTGCTTTCAGCTCAGGTGCAGCCTTTCCGACGATTCACCTAGTTTGTAGTTAGTTTGCCGGCGCGCGATTCATTCCATGCACGTTTTTCCAACGTGTTCCACTCGATCCGCATCGTCGGCGGCTCGGCACGACCACTCGCCTTTTCTCTCTCTCACAGCAAATCGATATTTCAGCTGCATCGCGTTATTTATTAATCCCGTCGCTGGCCGTCATCTTTTTATTTCGCGCACACGAGTCCCCTTTATTTATTTCGCTTTTTTCCTTCGCTCTCGTAAGTGCACATCGCCTTTAAGAGTGCACTGCTCTTTGTGTGTTGTCGCGGCCGTGTGCCGTTTCGCCGCCTTTTCTCTTAATGAGCCCGTGAATTTATGGCCCAGTTTTAACTGCTTAACACACTGCTCGAGCCAGAGAAAAGAGCCTCGGCGACTATACATAATATGCTGGCAAACTTTGTTGCTGCGCGCGAGATAAGCGGTTTAAATTTACTTGTTTCTCTGAGCCCGGTGCTGAAACAAAACAACAAAGACAGGAATGAGGAATTTTGTTCAAAGTGTTAAATGACAAAAATGGAATCTCATTTTTATAGCATTTTAATCTAATAAAAAAACTATTATAGCAGTTAAACTTCATTAAAATTTGAGTTAAAGGACGCTAGTCGGTAAGATCTGAACAGTATTATTGCCATCTAAACTAATAAATCGCAGGAATAGCCAAAGCATCAAAGCAAGAGCACTTGTAGTCTCTAAATTCTTTAGCAACCTCTATGACATTTTTTCTCTTTAAAAACTTAGTAATTAAAATTTTTAAACCAGATTTAGTTTCCACTGATCTACTTAAGTGGAACTTTGAACTTTTCACTAAAATGTTGTAAACTAAAATCTTAAATGTTGTTTAGTAAATAAAAAAGTAATATGATTTTATGAAAAAGTAAAATTTTGAAAATCATTTTAAATTTGTGTCTTAATTTAAATAGTATGTATTTGTTTAAATTTATTTGTTTATTAATTAATAAATTATATTTGTTTTGAAAGGTTTCTTCTCATGCCAAGTACTTCGCACTACCTCAATATTACGCTTAAGAGCAAACTTTAGCTACTTATAATGTACATAATTATATAAAAGTTTGATACATATATTGACAAGTCTTCTTTAACACTGCCTGAAGCAGCCGGAGGATCGTGCAAAGACAAAGCTGTCCAAGTTATTCAGCAAGTCATGCGGCAAATTTGCAACTCCTATTTATTGTACATACACGTCCTCGTCGTCGATGGAGCAGAAATTCTTCAGGCGGCAATTTTCGCTCGTGGCCTGGGATTTTGCTTCTGCACCTTTGTTCGAGCAGCAGCGAAATTCCACTGCGTTTAAATGCTGCGATATAGGTCTCGGAGAGCAATGCATAGTGGAACGACGCCGATGGCCCTTTAAAGGGACATTCCGCGACTTTTAAACTCGCATCCGAGTCGGGCAGGAAGGCGTTTCGAAAGCCGTTTTTGCCCGGTTTCCGCCGCCATACTGCTAAAAGGCCATTAAACGGTCCAATCCGACAAGCTGCTTCACATTCGCACATCTGGCAGAGCGGAAAATTGCAAATCTCCCACGAAAAAAAAAAATTGAATCCATAAAATCTGGTAAAAAAAAAAACAATTAGCAAAATCTTTCATAAAATAGAAATTTATATTTAAAAAAATTAATTGTTTGGCCGTGATTCATAAAAAATAATTTAAAAATAATTATTTTATTGGAAAATTTAATCTTCTTTTACTCTTTTGTTTAAAAAACATAAATATTATTATGATTTTATTTTATATTTTGATATACTAATTTAATAATTGTATAGCTTTCAAATTATCTGAATGAGTGCAGAAATGGATATTTTTTACAAACGGGCAAGGTGATACTTTTAATTGATGATTAATTGAAAGAATTGAAATAAAAATTATACACAACTTCATCCAATCCGTGCTATATTAGATCAGTAAACTTTCCAGAACTTTAAATTGCTCTGCATTGATTGGAGAAAAAGTTTTTGATTAGAAAAAAAATGACGAATGTGAATTTTTCAGACTAAGCGATAAATCAAACCTGTAATTGCTATCATTCATTCACGAGGAAACGCGAGACGCTCCCCCTGCTCAACTAGCTCCGCGACCCGAACGTCGACCCGCTGAAGGAGGCACGCAAACTCTGACCCTGTGGCACAGTTGCCCCGTCGCCGCGCTACC